CTTAGTGGAGACCTCATAGAAAGCGGTGAGTGTGCAAAGCTGTGTTCAAAGTGATTGAAATCTTGGTTTAGAGTTTCTTTTTTTGGTTATGGAGGCGTCTGGCCGAGTGGATTGCTATCAACTTGACCTTTTCAGGCTCTGAAGAAGGCGAAATCCGCCGAAACGTCAGCTTAATCGTGAACAAAGAATAGTAACACCTCGCGTTTGCTCAACAAAAATACGAAGAAAATCACTTGATCAATGCCGAGGTTAATAGAAAGTCGGCCGTGACAGTTACATTTATTTAAGTTGAGAGGCGTAATTACTTTCGAGCATGTACATTTAAATCAATGCGTCTCGTTTCTTGTGTGCTGACCGTGGCACCAAAGCGTGGTAACATTTCGAACCCGCATGAGTGTTTCAACTTGACTGAGTCAAATTGGAAACATCAAATCTGGTTACCAGTGTAGTACTAGTCTGCATTCGTACTTGTCGCCCAAGAGCTGCAGTGTGGGGGGTGGGCTTTGTTCCACATATTTCTGGCAACAGCGTGCTTACGGCTCGTTATGTTTCAGCAGAGTATGGGTTATGCTTCCTTTTTGAGAGCTAATTCAAGCATCTTCCCATATAACACTTTTTAGTCGCTTAATTACACAGGATTTTGGTCATACAAAAATAAAAAGTTTATCCGGCACACGTACACCAATATGTATGTCAATGAATATGTGTGCACTAAAAGCTTTGGAACCAGATAAAACAACCACGCCATCCAACCAACCGCGCATTTTTACCTCCATGGTGCAACCCAGCCAAAGTTCTTTTTTAGTTCGCTTTATATACTCAATAATCAGCGGAATTGGAGGCGTTATAGGTGATAGGTGATGCTTAGCTGCGGATATTGTAGCTGCGAAGGCGATCGAATGCTCAGTTTTAGCGAATATATAGGCTTAATTTCGAGTTTAGTCGATTAAGACTTATCTGACGGCTAAGTACTCACTTGCTCTCATCTCTGGCTAGTATCGGCCCCAACAACAGATGATTGAACACGGGTGGTGAGAACGACAGAGGATACGTCAACGATGTTAGCTTTGAGACGTTAGAGAGTGCTTTCTGACTGTTATGGTAGGCAACTGAAAAGTTTCCAGTGATGCATTTGCTTCTGGTTGATGTGAAATTGTGCCCAAAAAGCTGACAGGTTAGAACCACTGCCGCATGTTTCTGCTGTTGTTGCTTGAGCTGGTACTGCTTTTGCAACTGGCGAAGGTCGTTCCATGTAGTCAAGTCGCGTTTTCTTCTGACACGAGCATGGCCTAAAAATGTAATAGTCGCGGGGTCGTTGTGCAGATTCTCGTTGACTGATGTGTTTTTGCATAAAAACTCCATTCTATCGTAAACTAAGCAAAGTTTGGTGTTAGCACTATTTCTTTTTGATTCATTATTAATATTAGCTTTCGAATACTCATTATCTCATCTAGGAAACTACGGATCATTCGGAAAACAATTTTCAAGAAATTCCCTGTCCTCTACCCTCCTCCCTTTCGTTCCTCCCACTTTGTTTTTCTTTCTCTTCTTCTTTCTTTCTTTTTTTTCTTTCTTTTTTCTTTCTTTCTTTCTTTCTTTCCTTCTTCCCTTTTAGAAGGGTTCTGGTCAGTTCTAATGGAGAACTGTCAAATCCTGCGGTGATGGTTGAGTAATTTGCATAATTTGAGCTCTTACTTCAAAAACCACACCGTTCTGTAATGAAATTTAGCAACCATACCTTAGATGATGTTATATCGTAGCCTAAATTTTTGTATTCACGCTGTTTTCGCAAGACATAGGTGTAGTGATGGTCATAGACAAGAAATGACCGGAACGTACATGTGACTGCTGATAAAACAGTGGCTTCTGTCATCATATCAACAAGTTTTAAATTTGATGTGGTATACTGGCTTCACTACGCTTACAATTGTGGCCTAAAGTCTAAATAGAGGACAAGGCGTTTGGTGTCGTCGAAATCCCCTACAGTTGCGCCAGGCATCCAACTCCATTCGTACCATTCTAGAGGTGATTAAATGCATACGTGGCCTATACAGTGACTTTCAGTGGCAAACGATCTAGCAAGTCAACCTTCCAAGACAATCCTAATCCCAATTTGCTGCCTGCGGTTAGATGAAAAACTTGGTCTGTCAGTGAAGCGGGATTGAACAAATAACTGTGTACATCGCAGAGTGTCTCTACCCAGTGCGGTACGCGCGAGCAACACTTAGTAGAAAAAATTCAAAATACTCAGGTTTCTGGTGTAGACTTTTCGAACTAACGAACACGGTATGCACGTCGCTTCTTCGTCTGAAGGATCGTCGTATAGAATGCTGTTGACATTTTTTCGAAAGGATTTGATCGTGGTTGAAAGCGGTTGAATGTTCCATGTATGCTTTTCGCGAAGCTCTGCCAGTCCAGGATAGGGAAAGTCAGCCATGGAATAAATTACCTAAAAGAAGAACCTTATACTGATCGGAAAAAACCATATCATTTATTCGCAGTCCGTTGAAGTAAACTCTGCTGAAGAAGTAATGAGAAAGATTTATCATAGAAAGACGAAACATGTTGTACTCCTTTTTGCTAGCTTCATTTATCTACGTTGCCTTCTCAACTGTCTTTGAGTCTTAAATGTATGATTACGGAACTTTTGCTGGTGACCAATTCAACCTATTTAGCATAATGAGGTTGTTTTAGAGTTCTAGAGGTAAAAACACATTGTATCATTTAAGCCTTCCTGAATTCTCGAAAATCCTGACTCAGTTATTTGAAGAAGACGGCCAACTATACATGCAGTAAAATTACAGGTCCTAGAGGTGGAGATACTATAAAGGCATAAGGTAAACCAAGAACTGTGGAGTCAGTAACAGGAACCAGTGCTAATTATAGCACTGTGCGCCGATGTGAGCTCTGTAGGAGTCAAAAAAAGATATGGGCGCCTTTAAATCAACATATCTCAGCTAGTGTGGATTTTACTAATTTCAGCAAAAAGAATGCCAGAGCCTATAGCCTATAGCTTTTTAACAGGTTAAAAGTTTTCTTGTTTCACCACTATGAAGTTCTTATTTTCTGCAGCCCATAACACATAGTCCTACGCCTGTTTAGCCTCAAGACTGACGTTACGAACACGAAAGCAAATGGAGAATCGGGATTCCACCCAACAGGTACGATAATATTTCCCAAGACAACGTTATGTTTGCAGATACTGTTCCTCCGTTGGATTTTTTAGTAACTTAGGCTTCATTATCTTTTTTTGGAATTTCTAATTGTGGTTCTATTTAAAGTTCAAAGGGCACTGCGTACATTGATGTGGTTAAAGCGATAGAGGGGAAGCTTCCTCTGTAAGCCTAAATAGTTTTGAACCCTCGAAAGCCTCTAATGATCAAAAAATCATCGTCAGTTTTCGAGAAATCAGCGTCGTCGCGAAAGTGTTAATTTCTTTTCTGCTGCTTTATTAACGTTTTCCATGGTATTACTTTCTTCCTGGTGAAAATACACAACTAGTTAGTACCCATGCTGAGCTCGTTTTTGAGAGAAGTATGCGTGAAGCGTTCGATGATCTACAAATGCAGTAAGCGTAAAAGAGCAGCAGATTTTTTTTCATTTTTTTATCGTGAGCAGCATATAGGGCGCGTGTGGCGCAGTGGTCGGAGGTGCCCTTCGACAAATATGGGATCAATCCCCTCGTAACAGGCTCACCAAGCCTTCCATACTTCCGGGGTCGGAAAATTGGTACCAGACCTGTCTGAGAGGATCCCAGCACTGGCTCGATGCATCGGTAGGCCACTGCGAGTCATTGTAAAGACCAGATATGCATTCGTTCACCTCCAAATTATGCTCAATGAAGTCGAGTGCATGGCGCATCCCTCGGGGATTGATTAACGCCGAGAGTTTCAACCTTTATTTATCCTTTTGTCGTGAGTGGTGTTATGAGATTCATTTGCAAACCGGTGTCTCCATTATAGCAACAAAAATCAGTTAATCCTTTACGCCCGGGTGCTGTAGGGTCCTCAGTGGTCCAAGTGGTCGTATGGATACTATGGTGTCCATGTTCACTTCACTGGACGCCAGAGTTTATTTTACCGTACTATGTACATTCATTCGATAGCTAATCCAAACCAGATCGAATTAGTAAGGATGAAATAGGTAAAGCCACTCTTTACACCTAATGATTTACAAAAACTTTTTTTTCGAAAAGTTCATTGACCGATAACAAACTAACAATCAAGTGTTTGTGTTCATTCTAATCGTGATGGTCGTTGAATGGGATGTATGGATGTAAAAAACACCGAAATGGACTCAACACAAGGTGCAGAATGCTTCAAAATGCTGATAACAATGCCCTTTCATAATGGGCAACAGTAACTTGCAGTAAATAGTACCATATATATCAAATTTCTTCTACAGTTCTGTCGTGTACATGACCTCTAATGCACTCCGGCTATTTAAAAATCCGCAACCGAGGAAAACTGGCCTGTCATTGGTTTACCCTACCTTGAACTAGCTGGGCGTTACGGGTTAACATGTTCACGATTATGTCCGATGCTTTGTCGCACGTTAAATGAATTTGAAACAATGCGCACCGTTCATTATGTCACCTCTCGTCCCTCGTTTTCCTCCAGACATCAAATGCCTCCTTCACCAGAAGCTCCTCTTAACTCAGCATATACAAAAGGAAGAGGAGTGCCTTAGGGCTGATGTAGATGGACAGATTTTTCATGAACATCAAGTCACATTAGGTAAAGACAGTAGCTTTTCTAAATCGATACCTAGTACACCTAGTAAATCCGTAGCGGGAAAATCGTCGATTGTATGCTAGAACTGTGGCAAGAAAAATCTGTGGTAAAGGAGATAATTAAAAGGAATATGTATTGGAATTAATGAGCGTATTCATTGTCCTGTTAATATTCACTTCGATATCAGAGAAAGAGGACGATGAATGACTTTTTCTGTCAACTTTGCTTGCTATGTGACTGTTTTTACCTTCCTCCGCCACATTTCCAATCGAGAGGGCTTTCAGCCTCCTTCGAATCTCCCAGTTCCTACTGCTTAATTCTATTTTACAACTTTAAGTCAGGCTTCTGTATCAAAGATATGTTGCATATATAGTACTAAGAATAAAAATAATGGTGTGTAGATGTGTAAAAACTGGAAAGTGGTTGATAGATTCAATGTAACCATAAAAATCCCGCAATTTAAAGTGTGACTCCTCGATCAGAGTTCACAATTTGGGAAAAGAGGGAGAATTACGAGATGCAGTACGAAACCACAATATTTTAGTTATTTCTTTACTGCCTACTATAATTTTCATGGCAGGGTATTATGTGAAATCAACCACAGCGATGCTGAGATATTGGCAAAACTTGGACCACGGGTCCGATCCAACCACGATTTCCTTTTCGGGGGCTCCCGCACTAAACCCTGCGCCACGGAGGCCCTTGCTCTGCTTTTCTCCCAGCTAGTTTCCTATCTACCAGTGCTATCAGCAATCACCTGTCAACGAGATTGATCTGGGGAGCACACATCGATATTGCACCCAGTTAAGCTTAGGCTGCAGCCGAAATCGGAAGAGTAAATCACAGTGCGAAACATTTGCTTAAAGGTATTTAAGGTGACGCTGTACTGTGCTCAGACTGAACCAAAGAAAAGAAAAAATATTAAGAAGGACTAACCTTCATTAAATGATCTTGCTCTTGCTCGTTCATTTCCATGAGATCATTGCATAAATTTTTCATAACCGTATAGAACTCATCAGCACTCGATGTGTGCAAGATTTTCCTAGAACTGTAGTGTTTTAATGTTAACCTTTTGCTTGTTGCCTACTATATTTGTTCACGGCAGGATATATGAAATACACCCACGACGATACTGAGATATTCGCAAGGCTCGGACCCCCGGGTCAGATTGAACCATGGCTACCCGTCCGGGAGCTCGCGTTCACACTGCACCACGGAAGCCCTAGCTCTGCCAGTCTCCCAGCTAGTTTTCGGCTTAAAGTGGTAGTAGGCAAGTGTATGTCTTATTTAGGTATGTAATACGCCAAATGAATGGTCCAGTAATCAGTAATTCCTATGTGTAGAGGACCGTATTGTTCCAGTATCGTTTGACCTCCTTCGAGATCCTTCTTAGTTAAGTCGAGTTCCAAGTTTTGAGATTGTGACTCTTTGCTGTCCAATTAATATGTTTAGCCACTTTTCTTTACCGTTCTCTACCTTGTCAGTTTTTTCAAGGAGATGAGCAGAAAACAAAAATCGGATACCTGCTAATTTTTGACCATAATGCGATGGCTGTTCTAATGAGAATCTCGGAACCGTTCAACATCAGTGCGTCCCATACACGCATTACACAATTCCTTGGCAGACAGGTAGTGAACAGTGTGAGAAACCAGTGCATAGAAAAAAGATTTGTAAGTGGCGGTTCGTATTCGTTACCTGGAATCGTGTAGTCACTAACAGAACAAGAATTTGGCTTCTCTTCTCTCTTTCTACACATCTATTTCTATCCCTGTGCATGAATTAATTTGTTGCTTTATCTCTTTGTACATCTCCCCAGAACTTTGCTTATTTTATTAATCCCCTTGCCTATTAATCCCAATGAATACCTCGAAACGACTTTAAAAAATAAAGGATAAAGCTCTCGGCGTTGATCAACCCCTGAGAGATGCGCCATGCATTCGACTTCATTAAGCATCGTTTGGAGGTGACTGTTATCTGACCCAAACAGTGATTCGTGGTGTCCTACCGATGTATCAAGCCAGTGCTGCTATTCTCCCAGACCAGTCTGGTACCAATTTGCCGACCCGGGATGGATGGAAGGCTTGGTGGGCCATGAGCGCGGGGTTCGATTCCACTTGTATGTTGCAGGACGCCTCCAACCACTGCGCCACACGCGCCCGAAACGTCTTTAAAATTTAAAATCTATGATGACGTCAGTAGATAGGAGCCGGGAAAAAAGTCGTTCATTTGCTTGTCCTCAGATCTTGTAAGGCTGTACTTACACGCTGGGAGCGTAAGTTGTTAAAAATATAAAAGAATATAAAGTTCTGATCTCAACTATTTTCATGGATGCTGCTTCGGTGATTCGAGCAGGCATTCGATGAACTGTGAAGTTGTTCAAGATGATGAATAATTGCTGGTAGTCGTTGTAGCATCAGATCTCGCATTACAATGAGATCCACTGAGAGAGCACCAAGTGATTGATCGAAATAACCTCGTGGCAATACACACTCGATAAGGAAAATCATAACCTAAACGTTTCAAATTATTCATAGACGCGACTATGTGACGCTGCTGAAGGCAGAGCAGTGGTCGCACTTCTTTTCTATTATTCACCGGCAATGCTATTCATTCACGTTTATACATTGAAGACTCACTGAGCGAAAAACGTACTATTTTCGACCAGGTGGTTTTCAACCTTCAACAGCTAACGAACTGTGCGCATTGATATCAATGCATCAGTATATAGGGCAGAAATGATGACCGCAGTCAACTTTAAACTAGCTACCTCTAATGAAAATGAACTTCATTGACTGAACCAAAGCTCATTTTCTGGAGCCTAGGAAATGTTTTTTTCAAATTTCTTCTTTGTGAAAAAACCAATATCGATCGTTATGTGTTAAATAAGCTGATTATTTGAAACCGAATTGATTATGATTGTGCAAAGATTTATTCTGATATCGAAATACCTTCAGTGCAATATCAGTACGGTACTCAACTACTTGAAGTATTAAGGCAGCGATCACATTGAATCCTTGACAGTATCCAATATCCTTGTTGAACCTTAAAAATGACAAGAGAAGAGGATTAATCGTCCTATTTTAATGGAAATGGGACACGAAACATGAAAATGAACTTTTTTTGGGCTAGGCGGCTATAATAATACAAAGACTCATTTTGAAGCTAAGCGCGGCAAAACATCAATGTGGTGAGTTCTTCTTCGAGATTTCGTGCACACTCTCTTCTCCTTTGTCCGTTTTTTCCTTTTAAAACTATTGTATCACCTGTTATAGGAAAAGGCACGTGTTGCGCAGTCGTTAGAACTGCTTTACGATTCACGTGGTCACCGATTCGATCCTGCTAGTTGGGCTAACAAACTCTCATTCCCACAGGGTCGGCAAATATGAACCACACTAGCATGGGAGGATGAGAACACTGAACTATTCTATCGACCAAGACGAATCCATGCCTTCATTGGTTAGGTTTGCATTCAAAAAAAAAAATTGTCTTAGCTGGACAAACGATACTCTTCCTCCGCCGCTGCCTGAAACACCGAGTCGTGCCGAACTTCATCAAACGAAAACGACTACACGAT